CCCCGAACGAGCTCCCAAGCGAGCCCCGCCCCCTGCTCCGAGCTCCCGAGCCCGCCCCCTGCTCCGAGCGTGCCCTGGCGGCCCCCAATTCCCCGTGTGCTTCAGCAGCGCGGCACAACCCTGCGCCTCCCCCCCCCGGGACAGCGTAGCCCTGCGCCTCTCCCCCCCCGCAGCCGGGACCGCGCAGCCCTGCGCCTCCTCCCTCCCCCAACTTTCTACTCAAACCAAACACCCCTGCCCCACCTCAATCCATTCCCCCCCCCATTGCTCGCTCTCCTCACCCTCACTACTTACTCACTTCTTTTCACCCGGCTGCCTCAGGGGGTTGGCGTGTGGGGGCTGAGGGCTCGGCTGGGGGTGCAGGCTCTGGGGTGCAGCCAAGGATGAGGGGTTCGGGGTGCAGGAGGGAACTCTGGGCTGGGGAGTGGAGCCGACGGGCTTGGAGTACGGGAGGGGGCTCCAGGCTGAGGCAGGGGGCGGGGGAGGGGTAAGGGCTCTGGGATGGGGGGTGCAGGTTCTGGGGTGCGGCCAGGGATGAGGTGTTCAGGATGCAGGAGGGGACTCTAGGCTCGGGAGTGGAGCCGAAGGGGTCGGAGTATGGGGGGTCTCCAGGCTGAGGCTGGGGAGCGGGAGTGGCTGAGGGCTTTGGGCGGGGGGTGCAGGTTCTGGGGTAGGGCCAGGGATGAGGGGTTCGGGGTGCAGGAGGGGGCTCCAGCCTGGGGCAGTCTGCGTCCCCAGCAGGACAAAGGCCCATCTGGGGCCCAGTGTGTTACAACATCTCCCAAAGACTCCCAGAGCCCTTGGGCTGGAAGGGCCCCCGAGGGGCCACCTGCTCCTGTCCCCCGCACTGAGGCTGGAGTAAGGATCATCTGACCAGCCCTGACAGGGGTTTGTCCAGCGACCGAGATTCCACAGCCTCCCTGGGTAATTTATCCCAGTGCTTAACCACCTGGACAGAATGTCCTAGACCGCCCTTACTGCAATTTAAACCCATTGCTTCTTGTCCTGTCCTCGGTGGTTAAGGAGAACAATTTATCACCCTCCTCTTTATAATAATGTAACCACACACCTCCTGGGTCTGCTACCGCCTTAGCTAAGGGGAATGTGTCTTTTAGCTCATGCAGTAGAGGCTCATGCATTTAGCTCCCGAGGTCCTAGGTTCAATCCCACCCACTGGCATCTGTTGGCACTACAAAAACCTTTTTACACACTTCAAAGCTATCATGCCACCCGCAGTCATCTCCAGATGAAACAAACCCAGTTTTTTTCAATCTTCCCCCAGAGGTCATGTTTTTGAGACCTTTATTCATTTTTGTTGCTCTTCTCTGGACTTTCTCCAGCTTCTCCAGATCTTTCCTGTAATGTGCCCCTGTGACGGAGCAGGGAGCAGGGCAGATTTGACCTGGGAATGTTGCAGGGGGGTTGCAGTGGGGATGTGGGACTTCCCTTGAAGGGAGCTACCTGAGCTGTAACCTGAGCCAGG